GGGGCTGGAGCCGTGGCCCTGCCCGGGCTTTCTGCAGCAGGACGTGAGAATGAGCCGTTTATGGGCCTGCCCCGGGCCCAGGTATGGGCCTTTCCAGACACCTCAGCTCTCCTAGCTGGGCTGCTAAGGACTTGTTCCTAGAGACCGGGGCTTGCCTATCATTCCTCTTAGTTCAGGAAGTGGAAGCCTGGAGTTTGGGGGCCAATCGTCAATCCTTAAGGTCCTCTCCACCACTTCTCCCCAGAGGCCTACAAAGTGTTCCATTCAAATAGGATTCTTTAGACCTGACCTCCTGTTCCTCAATTCCCACAGTAGTTTACACCCTGCTCCACCCTAGACTTCTACTACATTGCTCATTTGGTCATTTTCTTAAACTGCCAGTTATATTGTCGATAATTACAGCCTGTATGTCTTATGTTAACTAAGTGGTAAGTTACTTTGGGTTTCAGTATGAGTGCTTACAATGTTTTAGACCCTTTGCTAAGTGCCTCATCTAGATTATCACATCTAATCTGCATAACAACCCCATGAGGTAGATGTCAAAATTTGTTATCCCATAAACGTCAACAAACTTGCTCAAGATTCTGGCTCCTTGTGTGAGTTGAGCAAATTATAACCACTCTGTGCCTCAGTCTCCTCATCTGTAAAATGGGATTAATAACAGCACCTGCTTCATGAGATTGCTATGAGAATTAAGTGAGCTAAGATGCATAAAGTGTTCAGGACAGTGCCTGGCCTTTAAGAGTTTGTTAAATAAATAAATAAACGAAAACTAAATGGCAGAGCCGGATGTAGTCTAGGTGGTTTGATAGCAGAGCACAAGTTTCTAAACTGTTATTCACAACTTCTCTCCTTGTCGATTGTGTCCTGTTCTGTATCTTCTGAAGGCTTTGGCAGGGATTGTGATTTCCATTTTTCAGATGAGCAAACTGAGCTGTAGAAGACATGATCCAGCCAGTAGCACACATATTTCTCTTCCTGACAATTTCCCTGGTGACACTTCCTGTATTCTCATGGGCCAGGCACTGCTCTGAGCGCTTTACACATATTAACTAGCACGGCACACATGCAGTCTTAGGGTGCAAGTACTGTTCCTCATCCCATTTTGCATATGAGGAAGCTGAGGCACAGACTCACCTGACTCTGCTGTCATACCTGTTCTCTGAGTCCTTCCTCAGGGGTGTGGCCAATTCTGCTTGCAAGGCCCAGAGCAGGAGCTCCGGGTTGGTAATCCAGGGACTGAGCACCAAGGAATTCTCACTGAAGGACCCGTACCACCCTGTGTTTCCCCTTCTCTGCCTTGGTCTGTGACCTAGCCTTCAACTATACCCCAGATTTCAATAGCTGTCCTGGCCTAACTTCCACGGGTATATCAGATCATGTTAGTCTGACCCATTGCTAGGGTGACCAACTGTCATGATTTGCCCGGGCATGTCCCAGTGTTAAAGCTGAAAGGCCTGTGTTACGGGAAAGGTCTCAGCGTAGCGGCTATTTTCTGACCCAGCGGTGTTTTACTCCTTGATGCTTAGTAATACTTGCATCATCCCATAGACTTGCAGAGGATGACCTCTCTTCTCCAAATGATCCCCCCGATCACTTTAATTTAGCAGCAGCTGCAACACATTTTAAAGCACAAGAGCATAAGGAACATTCTTGGGGATACTTTCTTTCCTGGTGGAGGAGATCTCTTGGGTTTACTTTCCTAAAATCATGCCAGAGTAACATAACTAACCCCGTCAGCAGTTTCCTCTCTGCCCTTTAAACACATGACCCACATTTTCATTCTCCCCAAACACTTCTAATGGTTTTCTTTCAGCTAAGGCAAGCAGCATAGTACAGAAGAAAGAGAACTGGGCTTGGCATTAGGGAGACAGCTTAAGTAAAGGAAAGAGCATGGACTTCAAAGGCAGAAAGATCTGGGTGTGACTCTTGACTCTAACTTGTCACTTTATGTCTTTGTGCAAGTTACTTAACCTCTCTGAACATTGCTCATGAAAGGATAATATGAGATAATCAGCGATGATGTATGTAAAGTGACTTGCATAGAGTGGGATGTGACAGACATTAGACGACTGATGACAGAGGCCACAGGTCACAATGGGAGCTCCCGACGGACTGGCAGGATCCTGATCCTAAACGGCACTGACGTGCCCAGAGATGCTGCTGGGTGACTGGTACATGCCTAATGTGGCCTCTTGGCCAGAGTTTACTCTTCTTGCCGTCAATGCTACTTCCACAGGGAAGCCTTGTTAAAAACTCACAGGTTCCTGTGCTTTTCACGAGTTGAATTCACATTTTATTTGGGTAATTATTTAATTTCTATCTTCCCCACCTGACTACAAACTCCCTAAAGACAGGGACCACTCTGTCTCTCTCACCGTTACAGCTTCAGCAGCCAAATCAGTGCCTGGCACACAGGAGACATTCAATAAGTGCGTGTTGAATGAAATGAATGAATGAATCAAATGTCCATTCAAAGGTACCGGGGGGAAGACAGAATTCCATAAGGCCGTGCAGGCAGTGGTAAGCCGCTAGATGGAGCTGATGGCTTGCATGTAAATACCCGACGCGATTTCTCAAATCAGAGTGAGGAGTGGCTAAGACTCAATTTCTAATTTGGGAAGCGATTGTGCTGAGATTATGACATCTATCTTTTGTCAAGCACCGTGCTAGGCAATTTACAATGTGTTACTATAGTTCTTTCAACAACCACAGGAGAAAGTATCCCATTTTACAGATAAGGAAATAAATTCCCAGTAATTTTAAGTAAGGAGACACAACTTGTAGGTGATAGAATAAGGCTCTCAACCCAGGTCTGTTGGCCTCCAAGCCTGTTTTCTCTTCAGTATACTCCAGTGCTTCCACTTTAGTGGTCTAATGCAACCAATAAACATGGTTCCTGTTGTGATAGGGCCTTTTCTTCCCCTCACAGCTGGTTGTTGCTTTATTACATATCCAATCTAATTGAGTTCTAAACTCTCCACACAGCCATTGATTTCTAAAAAGACAGGTGAGGGGAAATAAGAGGCAGAATAGACTCAATGTCTCTTAAAGCAGACATGTAAGTCTTGAGCTCATTGATAAGCTAAGTGTGGCATTCTGAGGAAGGAAGAAATAATCTTCAATGTATCAATCAGTCATCAATAGTTCTTCACTGAGCACCTGTGTTGCACACACAGGGCTGAGCCAACACAGATGGGCTTACAATCTGCTTGGGGATGGAAGACACGCACACATGGGACGAGGAACATCTCAATGCACGGCAGTACCTACGTGCCTTGTGAATGACACATACAATAAGAGGAATTCAGAGGCTGGAAAGATTCCTGCGACTGAGGTAGGCAGAGCTGACCTTTGCAGAAAATGCATTCAAGGAGACAGCAAGTAAACTAGTCCTTTCTACTCAAGGTGTAGACCAAGAACCAGTGACATCGATGCCACCTGAGAGCTTGCTAGAAACGCAGACCCTCAGTCTCATCCCAGACCTCCAAAATCAGAATCTGCATTGTGACAAGATCTCCAGGTGATTTGCACATGCTCAAAGACTGCTTGGGATCAGGTGTTTGTATTCATATGTCTCTTTAAAAATGAACAGACTCTCTTTCATTTCGCTGTCTAGTTTTAATTTTGGATTTTGATTTGCTTTTAAAAGAATGGTACTTGGTGCTCAGCGGGGCATGGCCAGCTCGGTGCAGAGGGAGGAGTGGTTTATTTATTTTCTTTTTACTGTCATTTATTTTGTTTTTCCATCCCTTTCCCTGGCTCCTGGCACCTGTACCTCTGGACACTCCTGTCGGGGGATTAAAAAAAGTAAAATGACAACAACAACAAAAAAGGTACAAAAAAGAAAAAGAATGGTACTAAATACTCTAAGCTTCTGCCATTCTTCTCTATAAGAATCTATAGAAATTCCTGATAGCTAAATTTTCTGCGGTCTGGTGATTTATTAACTGGAAGGAAAGTTCTTATCCAAGCATCTTTGCATGTATTTACACAATGAGAATTGTTCAAGAAACTAGGCCTTAAAAAACCCAAAAGTATATTTTTTTAATCACTAAAGACGTTTACCTTATGTTCACTATAATTGGGTACATTCTAATTCTTTGCAGATTGCTAATCTGTCTATGGTATGTGATTGAAACATAATACTAGATCACATCTCATCAGGTCACTCCCTGCATCCCATACTGTCCTCCCATCCAGAATTCTAGATCCATGACATTTGTTGTAATGTGGAATTCGTGATAACTCTGATGGAGAAAGTTAGACACTTATGACACCAGCACATGGATAGGACTTGATATGACATCTCAGTAAGAAGTGATGGTGGCCCTAGGTCTAACCTTGGTCCCATTTCTAGTATCCACTCATGGAAGTTGGGTGAGTCCATTCAGAAAGGCAGTGTGGTATAAAGAAAAGTGGACTAGAAAACAGAGTGAGAAAAAAATAGGCTCAGGGCTGACACATGTCAGGTGTGTAGTGTCACTTCTCTGAGTCTCAGTTCCCACCTATAAAATGCAGGGAGGGGGAACTCAATGGTTGTTAAAGTTGCTTCCTGGTCTAGCATTACGTGAGCCTAGTTAACTATGAGTTAGCACATGGGTAGTTATTCATCAAACCCAGACTATATAATCCCCCAAATAGAAATGGCCACACAGTCCTTACATCCAGACACAAAAGTTGAGAAGGCTGGTTACCATGGCAACTGACCTTCATGAAGTCATTTATAAATTCAATTCTGTAAAGGGACAATATTATGTACTGGCACCTGCAAAACTCCATAATGTTTCCTTTGCTTTCATTCTTGCCCCGGGCTACAGTGCCAAGAATTGTCGTATCTGGAGAAGCAATCAGAGCTCTCAAGCTGCCTTTCGGTCTGCTAGAACAGAAGGTGCTGACAGGGGTGGGAGGAAAGGAAGGCCTCCGTTCAGTTTACTCACTCTGCAGCCGCCCTTCACAAACTCCAGCAAATATTTTGCGATGTTGCAAGGTGTTACGAGAAGTGAAAGGCAAGCTGTGATTCAGCTGTTATGAAGACTTTGCAAACAAAAAAGAGTGATCTGTTTTGCAGCAGACTATTATTTCTGCCAGAGCCCACAGACTGAAATACCAAAAGAGGGATTTCTCCAAGACATTGCCATCATACATATTAGATTTTCAAAACAAGAACAATTTTAAATTATTTGGCCTAGCAGGTCCCCACCAGGCGAACCTCAAACCTTGGGAGCTATGGAGTTACTGTAAGGTATGTGCATGTTTTGTCTATAGATTGAGTGAAAAACGTGCTCATCCATATGGATTATTTTTCAAATATGCATAAATGTCATTGTGATGAATCAGCTCATATTAAAAGTAGAGTTAATACCAAGCTTGGGTTTAAGAAAAAAAAAATATATTTTTGATGTTGAAATGCAGTCTCCATGCTTTTCAGATCATTTGTCTTGATTCTTGGGCCAGAGAATATGGACACCTTAACGTTAGGAGAGAACATTTTCCCCAGTTATTGGCTCTACTTTCATGGCATATGTTGGATAGTGTAGTCACCATTTGGTTTCCAGAACCTTAACACCTGTGAGGAAGACATTTAAGTGGCTAGTTGAGTACTGCTCCTCCATGAGATATGTCATCTCTGAGTATATATATAAGCTGTGAGCTGTGGATACAATTCTTAGTCCACACAATTGTATAAGAAATATAACCTAATTTTGATTTCCAGTCTACATTTGTTTGCAGCGTCAGAAACTTAATCGCAGTGAACTCATGGATGTCAACCTCCCCTTTCCCTGGGGTTGTGTCTAGATTCTGGGAGGGGCTTCTGAGATGCAAGGGGTGCAGCAAGGGGAGGGAAAGTGAGGAAGCTGGTCCTTAAGAGCATCCTTCCACACTGGCATTTACTGGGACATCCTTCGCTTTGTTTGCATGGCCCCTTCAGGTCCAAGAGCACCCTCCATTTCTCTGGCATCCTCTTGGGCACAAGGAGACCTGCTTCAGTCTCACTGGGGCGTCAAAAACTTTGCATGACTGCCTAAGTTCCCTTTAGTGGGATCCATTTCTTCTCTGAGTTCTTGTCATTTTTATGGGGCTCTACTGAGGAATGTGTCTTCTCTGCTCCGAAGTCCCACAAAAACTTCTGGGATTGTGTGTCGCCTTCCCAGAGTAAGCCTGGGGACTAGGGGACTGGACCCGGCAAAATCTCAGCCCTACCTGCCTTCCCACGAATTCACTTCCTCCCCACAAGAACAGGGAACCCTTTTCTACTTTCATTATCTTTTCTTTCAAATATTTTATCTGTGGCATGTTTGTTTGCTTCCTTCCCCTAAAGGCAGCTTCTGAAACCAAAAGCCAGGAAGACATTTTTATTCTCTGCCTCTGCTATCACATCTCTTCTGCGAGATAAGGAGCACAAACCTGGCCAGCTGCCTGAATGAGGGGAAGGAACAGGAGGGCAAAGGAATCAGCTAATATTACTCTACCACATATAAAAATTATTATAGATGTTATGAATCCAGGGCTTGCAAGAGAGGAGGCCAGGCCCAGATGAAATCAGACACTGAGCAAAAAGTGAATTTTTATAGAATAATCAAAATAAGCCCCAGCCCTTGTATAGTTTTTCTGCTGACTCTTGATATTTTCTGCAGTGTGGCATCTAGAGCTAAGCGCCTGGACTTTTGGACACAATGCTGAAATCAAGAGGTCTTTCCTAAGGATTAGGTGAACATTGAAAGCTCCATCAGTCCTGTGTGAAAGTGCTTCAGCATGTTGGACTGGGGTCCTAGGAGAGGAAGGGTGGGGAGAGAAGAAATGGAAAGAAGCCTTATACTGCCAATGGCCACCACCTTGAGGCTTGCTTCCATTCAAACTCTCTCTGGAACTTCCCTGCCTCCAGGGCTTTTGGAAAGGCAGCTGCCTCTGACTCTACTGTTTCAGTCCCAGCCGGATCTGAAGTACCTTCATTCATTCATTTATTCTTTCATTCAAAACCACTGAATTCCTATGGTGAGCTATATACTAGGGAAGGAATAAACCTGTTTTAGTCTTGGCAAACTTATCTAACAGTCTCGTTGAACAAAAAAGACATGGTCTCTGGATTTGAGGATCGTACAGTTTAGTTGGGGAAGGGAAGAGCCCATGGTAAGACAAGGGAGGGGAGATTTCAGTGGTATGATGGAGAGAATACAGGTTGTAGGGAAGAGAAGGCTTCCTGGATAGAACAAAAAGGAACAAATAAAAACTTGAGAAAGGCAGTGACAGGCCTCTGGGGGCAAGGCAAGCTCTACAGGTCATGCCACAGGCTAGACCTCCTTTTAAGAAGAAGGCTCAGGGAGCAGCTGGTCTGGCTCTGGGACCAGCCCCAAATTTCCAGTAGCAATGATGACTATATGTTTCAAACTTGGTGATTATGAATACACATTTTTCTCATTTAAAAGAGCTAACTGCTGGGTGCCTAGGCAAAAAGACTCAACTTGTGATGTTTGAATCAGGAGCCTATGGGAGGAACACGGGGGTGGAGGGTCCTTCACAATGCGAAAGCCTCAAACTCTCTTCCTTGGAAGATGCTATATTTCAGGCAAAGAGGGGTTTGGTGTCAAAACCACAGAAGAGGCACCAGAGTGCAAAATTAGAGCTTTTCAAGCAATGTATTTTTATCATTAAACTCTCTATGTTATAATTCTAACAGAGAGGGTGGAGGAGAGCTCTTAGTGATCATTCAGGGCATTCAGCAGAGATACTAGAAGGGTCATGCCTTAATAGTGGGGCTAAACTATCCTTAGAGTAAAACCTACACTACATCCTCCCTAACAAAGCTCAAAGACAAGCTTCAAAAGAACAAACTTAACCAAACATAATATCCTGCAGGCGGTGGTGGTATAGTGGTGAGCGTAGCTGCCTTCCATAATATCCTACAAGAACAAAGCCCAATACTTGAGAAAAAGGACAAGAAAATACAAGTACTCAACAACATACTATTCACAATGTCTAGCATCCAATCAAGATTTACTAGACAGGGTAAGAAACAGGAAAATGTGATCCATAACCAGGAGAATAATCAGTCAATAGAAATGATAAATGTTATGGACTACTTCACACCCAGATACGATACAAGTTTCGGAATAAGCAGATAAGGCTGTTTAAGCAGTTTTTATAACTATGCTCAAGTATTTAAAAAAAACATGTACATTAGTGAAGAGAAAACTGAAAAATATAGTAAAGAATAAAATGGAACTTCTACAGATGAAAAATACAATATCTGAAATTAAAAGTTCCTTAGATGGGATTTAATGGCAGATTAGGCATTGCATAAGAAAATAGAGAAATTTGAAGACATAGCAACAGAAACTATCTACAATGGAGCACAGTAGGAAAAGATACTAATAAAAAGCTGACAAAGTCTCAGTGACGTGAGCAACAATATCAAGGATCTAATATACATTTAATTGGAGTTCCAGAAGGTAGAGAGAGGGTAGCAGATAAAAAAGTATTAAAAAAAATAATGGCCAAGATTTGATGAAAACAAAGAGCTATTATCACCAACATGCTTGCTGTCATTATCCTTTTATTTTTTTCCCCCTCAATCTGAACCCGACCAGGATTATCTGTATTTGGCTTGCTTACATCATGTCCTGGTGAAGCTCATGTTTTCTCCTCCATGCTTTACTGCTTAGATCAGCTGACAGAAGTGTTTCATCTTATAGAAGTGTTTTCTCTAACCTATCCTTGAGAGCTGGAGGTAGTTAAGATTGAGTTTAGGGACCAAATTCCTGCTGTACATGATCCATAGTACATGACCAGTGAATGGCTAGTACATGGCCTACAGTACAGGCATGCCCAGACCATAGTGAGTGCTGTGTTTCCCAATATTAACTCATTACTTTACCCACTGAATTCCCTGGAAGGTATTTTTGTATACTTTCCAAAATGTTGAAGCCAAAACTATGACTCTGTAGCTTATCTTCAATTAGGTACTTTTACTTTGCTCTTTCCTTGCACAGACAGATAGGTTTGTGCTTGCTCCTAAGATTTTATGTTAAAACTTTCATTCTAGTTTATATGTAAAAATTGCCAAAGAATATTAAACACTTGATAGTTTTGGTGACATTAAAAAATATTATATGAAGTAGGCTATTTCAATGATCTCAGCAGAGTTGGGGGTAGGCAGTAAGAGAAGAATGGATGGGAAGAATGCAGGGGACCCAAGGGAGTTTTCAAAGTACACATACTTCACATCTCCCCATAAAGACAATTTTCTTTCTCTTTTTTTTTTTTTTTGAGACAGAGTCTTGCCTTGTTGCCAGGCTGGAGTGCAGTGGTGTGATCATACCTCACTGCAGCCTTGAACTCTTGGGCTCAAGTGATCCTCCTCCATCAGCCTCCTGAGTAGCTGGAAATACAGGTGCATGCCACCACATCTGGTTAATTTTTAATTTTTTTTGTAGAGACAGGGTCTTGCTATGTTGCCCAGGCTACTCTCAAACTCCTGGCCTCAAACAAGCCTCCGCCTCAGCCTCTCAAAGGGCTGAGATTAGAGGTGTGAGCCATCATTACTGGCTAAAGATGATTTTCACTCTGTCCTTATGAACACTCTTCCCTCAGATCTAGAAATGCCCAATTCTGTCTGATATTTTGAGTTTCCGCTGTAATGTCTCTGCTTTAGAGGGGCCTTCTCTGATCACACCTTTCACTCAGTTACTCTCTGTCACTTTTCACACTCTGCAAGCATGTTGTTCGCTTGGTTACTATGTACTTCTACATTATAACCACCACAGTGTGAGCTCCGTGAGGGCAGAGAGCTTGTCTTGTTCACCACTGTATCCTTGGTGTCTGAAACAGTGTTTGGGAAATATTAGTCTCACAAACAATATTGTTGAGTGAATGTTAACTGAAGACAGTAGGCACTTCATGTGACTGCTATGGAAGCACAAACAAAACTGAAACCCCCCCTAAAAAGTTATGTAAATTTTGAAACATGTAACTTCATTCATATTTGTTCTCTAAAAGTTTTGCTTTTCATATCTGAGTTCTGAGTTTGATTATTTTGTGCATGGTTAAGACATAGGAATCCAGTTAGAATTTACTGAAGAATTTCCCCCTGATCTACAATGCTACCTGTATTATCACCTTTCCATATATGTACTCAGCTACTCCTGGTCTCTCTGTTTCTGTTTTTGTGTCAGTATTTCACTATCTCAATACTTGAGCTTTACAATAAGCTTTGATACCTGGTAGAGCAAGTTCCTCCAACTTATT